ATCGAGATCCGCTCAATAGCGTCTTAAGTCAAGTGCACGCGTACTCAACTAATATTTAAAGTCGATTTTATTAAAAACGAAACTCTATATGAAAAAATTTCATTCTGCAATTTCGATTTATTTTTTCATGAAGAATCAGCCTCTTGCCAGTTGTACCATGAATTACGGACCACTCTATATATATTTTGTATGTTTTGTTGTGTATCACAAGAGAACCTTCGCCGTTTTTTCGTTACTACTATAATCGCATACTGATAATAACACACATGTCACATAAATAGGTAGCCCACTTCAAACCGCCCATTAAAAGCTGTCAGATTGAAATATTCTGTTCTTCAGTAAAAATCTCTCGATCTTTGAATTGCTTAATAATGTGCAATACATAAATCAATCCACTAAATCACTGAGAACTGGCACATTAAAATATTTGCGTTTCTTCGATATCTTTCGATCTTTTGATAAGAAACTTTTGATAGCGATTTTTAGATAAGGATGTTACTTAAAATTTCAAAATGTGGCACGAAAATTGATCTATTCCTTTTAATTTTTATTTGTAACCCATTTCTCACAATTAAACAGATTCAGGCGAAAAAAATGGAAAAAAAACATTGGACAACATAGGAGGGATGACTAATAGATCAAATCTATTTTCAAAATAGTAGCGGATCTATTTTTGTTTGAATCACAAACGTCCTAGTTAGAGCGAGAAGAAAAAGCATTCTCAATCTCGCGAAAAAAAATAGCGACCGACACGTGTTTCTGTTCCTTACTTACCGGTAGTACCAACGCCTGGGCATCGAGCGGAAAGAGCGGTCTTTCGGCATTCGGTCTGGAAGCCCAGTAAGCTACCCCGGTGACGAAGAGAGCGCCGGCCGCGCCGCCCAGATACGGCAGGTAGTCCTCGATATGAGACTGTAACACTTCGTTTAAGATCGTTTGAACCGTTCGAGACTGTACTGCTCAAGCTTACGTAACTTACGGCCCCTGCTACTATTACCTGCATAACGACGAGACGGGTACAGGTAGACAGGTGCAGAGATGCGAGATTTCTACTGACAATGAGAGATATACTACTGTGCTACTCTCATGAAAGTCGTCGGACGACTTTGTTAACGATTGGCGAGAGTGCGCGCAGCTCACGAACTGAGCTCTTCGAAGATTCTAAACGAAGTGAGCTTCGGACTTGAATGCGTCCGAGCCCCAAGTCCGAGTCCTATTATCCCGTGTGTCTACGGACCTTGTTCCCGGATATCTACACGCATGTTATCGCGCGCGTTAAACTGTAGCGACTTAGGAATACATTATGGATAGACACGTACACATACACACATACACACGTACACATACAGATCGCTGAGATTCAGGTATTGCGCAACACTTGTAATGGATCAAATCATATCGTATTCTGAGCGATTTAACGATGAAAATATGATAATTTCAAATGAAAAAAAGAGAGAAAGAGAGAAAAAGTGAAAGATAGAGGATGAACGAGCGTATGAGATACCGGCATACTCTCCGCACGCGCCCCTCGCATCTCGCACCATTCTACGTAAGTCGATATAATGATAGCTGCGTACTCACTGGCGTAAAGAATAATAAGTAGCGATGAGGTTCCTCCGCCGCGAAGGAAGCTCGAACCAGTCGAACGAGCCCCGAATACGAAAGCGCGATTTGAGGAATCGCGCGAACGGCGGTGAACGAGAAGGGAGCCGGAGCGGATGGCGCACCCCAGGGACTGGTCGGCTTGACTGGCCTGGAGGGATGCCTAGGGTCAGGGCCACGGCATGACAGTCATGACACTACCTTTTCTTCGCAAACAAAAATTTCCCTCCTCGTTCGCTCGCGTCAGGTAGGGCTCAACGTACGTTACGCGATGCGGACCCTCACTGCTGGCGTAAACGTGGCGCCATGACGTCACCCCGCGCATACCGCGCGACGACGAGGACGGCGCGAATCGATGCCGGGCGCTGCGACGACCACCCTTCTTCGTCACCGCGACGGCAGCCACCCTGACGAAACGATAATAATCGCCCCCGTAAGCGGCGCACGCGCGCGCGCGCCGATATCGTCGCAATACCCCGGCTGACGAGAGACGTATGGTATACATCTCTGCATTACCATATTGGTGTATCTTGCCCCTATCTTCATTAGATATCTTATCCTCTTTCAAGAAGAATCACGCGACAGCCCATAAATCGCAATTTATAAAGATTTTCATTTAAGTTAAATATATTTCTTTTTGATGAAGTAAATGTGATTTATGGAAATGTATCGGACATGTTGAATGCTATAAAATATATGGTATAAATGTTATACCACTATAAAAGAGATATACATGATATATAGTAAAAATGAAAATATATAAATTATGTTGTATATATATGTATATAGAAAATACAGCAAATAGTTTATATTAACAGATAATGTTTATCTCTCTGTGGGGCAAAAAGCTTTTTATAAATAAAATAATTAGTATATACACCCAATAATATACAATTTTTATTTAAACTTTTCAGATTATTAAATTGTTATATTAAAATCAGGTATTAAAATCTTTTTGAACTATATATATTTAATAATTTTATAAACTAACATAAGCAAATATATATATCTCTGATATATTTGTGTAGTACAGAAAAAAAGAACAATATACATTATAATGTGTGCTTGAAATTATATATATAATATTATAATTATAGCCCTTAATGAATTAAAAATCTCTCGTGCTTACACGATATAAAACTAACAAAATTCTTCAAGGTAACAAAATAATTTCTTGTCGTTATCGAAAGCGATAAAGATACCGATTAGTGTGATTAACACAGTGCAGAATACTGTACCTGGCAGGGTAAGTATGTGGGGTCGCTCGGTCGAGTGGTAGTCTGCGGTTGATAAGGGGATTCCAGGCGGTAACTTCGAACGCCTTCATTGGTGGCTATTTGGAGAGAGAACGGTCCTTCAACCGGGCTACTCATCTCCGAAGGATTCGACGTCCGCAGTTCAAAGTGAGATGGCATCGGTAATCGTTCGATCGTTCCTCCTCTAGGAATCGATGTCGGAAAGACAAATTGACAAAAGAAAAATAGAACGGTGGAAGAAAGAAGTTTGTATGTACTTCTATTTTATTGAAAAAAAAAAAAAAAAAAAC